TTTTTTTTTTTTTTTTTTTTTTTTTTTTTATCCAAAACCGAAGCGAGACCAGAGAATTCTGACTGCGAATTCGTGTAAACACCCAGGCAAGGAGATCAACTTTCGACGAATTAATTTGAGATTTCAACTTACTAAGAGTAGAGTATTAAATTGGGTGTATTTTTACTCTTCTGCTGATCAAAGATATTAAATCCTGCCTCTTACGCACGCGGTGAAATGAATATTAATTGAGAATTCTACAGTTTTCTGGCAACTCGAAAAACAGATCGAATGTAAACGTGGTGCAATTTACTTTGACACACGGAGAATCTTTAAATAAGAGAGACAGGATTTAATTTTAAATAGAAAATCAATTGCAAATTTCGACAAACCGTATCTTTGATCAGCAGAAACGTAAAAATACATCCAATTACGTAGTCGAAACTTATCGCCAAGTCCAATCTTATCGGCAAGTCTAACTACTTTCACCGAGTTTCTGTTTCACATTTTTTTTAAAAATCTGTATCGAATATATCGAAACTGCGCTCAAAAAAAAAATATATATATATATATATATTCCCATAGGATTTTCGCCACCTATGCTAATTCCCATCTCGGCTGTTTTGTTCCTAGAAGGCCGGCTAGTGGTTTCGAAAAAAAGTTTCATCAGTCGAGTGTAGCGAAAGAGAGATATACCGGGTACCCGAAGAGTAAAGTGCTCTTTGTTTTAGTAATTAGCAGGAGTAGCATGCGCAGCCAGTGACGACAAAGTCACACCCGGTATTACGTGATCGTGCATTTATATAACACCTACATTATCCTTGCATTATATGGTTAGCAGTGGTGACAGCACAGAGAAAGTTCCTAACCGTTCCCATATGCTCAAGTCCCTGTCTACCGGTCTATGCTCGATGCCAGAACTACGTCTCGATTAATGCTCCGTACAACTCAATATCGGAAAGCTTTGGCAATAACTGTGCTATCGATTTTTCTTTCTTTCTTTTTTTTTAACACTTACTTCGAATGGCTACGAAAACACACGTTTTTTCCCCGAAATTCTTCGCATTGGAATTAACTAGATGCAATTCTGTCTGTTACAGTAGCGCCAACATGCGGGAGAAAAGGTGGCTTCTGCTCGCTCTGTACGGTAAGTGAAACGTATTTTCAATCGAAACTAAAGAAAACATCCGAGGCGTCGATCAGATTATTCAGAATAGGTTTTTACACCCCTCAAGTAGTATCGTTGGATCATAGACGACTAAAGTAATTTAATTACAGTTGAATTATTAAAATTTGGAGAAAATCTGATTTTCCTTTGTAGATACTAATTTAACTCTGAATTGTTGTACACCTCAATGGCCCAACGATACCAATTAAGAATTAATCTCAATCGTATTTCGATGGAGGTAAAAAAAGTCCAGTTAACGATGCTCGCGCTCCGACAGAGTGTCCTTAGTATTTTCGGGCTCCCCATATCCGGAGAGGAATGTCGAAGACAGCGGTCGACCTTCCATCCGAGAGTTTTGCATCGATGTTGTTCAAGGTTCGTTCACACTGTCTAACGTTCGCGTTATACTCATCCTTCGATGAGCGAATCGATCTCGCTTCATTTGTGGATTTGACACAGTAGAAAGATCGAATCTGTCATTGGCTCGATGTGAGAAAAAAGAAAAAAAGAAAGAAAGATGTTACGTTTCGTATTCACGACGCAGAAGAACGTGCGCGTGACGCGCGAAACAGCTTGACGAAAAAGATTCCACGAAAGGAAAAGATGAACCTGCTGCGCATATCAAGAAGCTCGCTTCCTTTGTCCTATCGCGACGTGCAGTGCGAACCGACGAGCTCCGAAATTTTCTATCGAGACGAGACCTGCGAGACGGGAGATTCTGGACGAGCAGTTTCCATCGACGACGATGGAACATTTTTTTTTTTTTTTTTAACGAAGAGATTCGCGATCCCAAGCCAGTTTTAAAACGCTCGCGCGACACGAGGTGTTTCTGACATTATCCGTTCCTCGCGTTGAGAAATAGCCGAGGCCTTCGAAAACTTGTTTGAAAGCTACCGAACGATATAGCATTTACCCTATAACCGCATTTCGATTCCTCGGGATCGTAAAAATTTCCAGCCACGAATATTCCATTCTCCGGCACGCGCGCAAGTTTACTCGAATAATCTTTGAAATGCCAGTTCTCAGATCGATGCCTCAAACGAAACATGTACCCGTAATTCTATTGTGTTTCAATCTCATTTTCGTTTCGTATGGAGAGAATGAATCTTGAATGAAGAACAAAGACAAGAAAAGAACACGGCAGGTCAGATTTCTCGTGTCTTGTGGAGAAACGAGAAAATTTTTAAATGTAATAGTTGCCAAATTGTCGTAAGATTATATCACCGATTTGTTGCAAAACTTCGTGCTCACTTTTATCAACTATAAACTCTTTCCAATTCCGATATACACGCCCTCAAGTAGTACTGAAATTGCAAAATCTCCGTTCTTCTCCTTTGTCTGCGAATTTGACGAATTCTTCGATAAAAAAAAAGAATAAAAAATAAAAAAATACCAAGATAGACAAAGCTTCCCTTTTGTCTTCGAACTGAAGAAATTACTTGACGAAAGAAAATACGATTGAACGAAGAAACGACCAACACGAGTAAAATCATTCGGCATCGTTACGCCCTTCTTTAATGAGAATGTCACGGCGTTCCCATTCGAAGCGGGAACCGGAGAAACAATCGTTAGTCGGCCGATACAAAATCGGAATGAAGCAATTTGTTTATACCGCCGGCAGGCTTGTTTCGTCACGAAAACGTTACGTTTCCAAGCGAGGGGTGTGCCCACGCCGAGCGTTTCCCACAAACGGAATGCGAGCACGTTCCCATAATTCATTTTTATGCAACGTCGCCGATTATGCTCGTTATCGATCCCCGCTCGGAAAGCCACGATCCCGTTACAAAGGTGCACAATCGTTGTCGGGCTATGTGTTTTTCAAAGGCGTCAAGGACGTCCATTCTCCGTAGAAGAGATCGTCACGCCGAAATCGATCGTGAATCCGGGGACCACTTTGCTGTCAAACAGCCCTTGGAAAGAGAGCGTACCCAGCGAAAGTGTATTGCGGTTTTTGTATCGCATTTGAGACGACCAGTTATCCCGTCTGGTTCGAAAGGTTGCCGATCCGACCTTGAACCGGTTTGAATTAATTAGACGTGGCGGCTGACGAGCAAAGATTTTGCGATAATTCAAGTTCAATAACGAGACACATCGTTGATCGAAGAAAATAAGGGACACGATGGGAGAATTACAAGCATAGAATTTAGATTAGTGTCAGGATAGTTTCACACTTAAAAATATACGTAAGTAAAAATGCTAGAAATTTACAAATTACATTTCCGCGAATATAATAATCCGACGCTCCTTCAACTTGTCAATTGAAGTTCAAGCAATTACGAGAACACGGATTTTCGACGAAATTTTTCGCGGAAGCGAAGAAGAATCGCTCTCAAGACCCTCCCCAACGGGGACAAGATCGTCAAACACCGTATCGTACGATCTCCTCTCGTAAATCAACGAATCTCGCTGAACAAAAGAAACGAATCAATAGACAGCCTTGATCTGTTTGAAAACAATTGCCTAACCGAACGCATTCACCTGCGCCACGGAAAATTGCAACATTTTAAACCGAGCTCTCTCGCTGCTTCTCTCATGTGCGCAGATTTTGCAACGCCGACGCTTCTTCGCGACTTGTGCAATCCGCTTCGTGCGTACCGGACTCTGATTATTTACCCATGTGATCGTTCAAGCCCCGTCCCAGTTGCTTTCGATCGTCACGGTTTCAATGCGAGACGTGTACAGCAATCCCAGGGCAAAAACCGGGACCCAAAAGAAGAAAGGACCAACTACGAAATCTCTGGTCAGACCGTTCATACTTTCTTCTCTTTTACCTTCCAGGAATCCTATTGACGAACGCGATCTCGGCCGAACGAAAGCCCACCAGGCCGAAATTCAAGATCGCGACAACCTCGACGTCAACCACCACCACCACCTCCACTACTAGCAGCACCACCGAGGAGAGCCACGTGCGCGAGAATGAAAACGAGGATACAGAGGTATTTTCTATTTTCTGGACCATGGAGTGTCCAATCTTCCAGATCTTCTAGGCTAACAAGAAATTTGTCGAGAGCCGTAAACATAGTTTACATATTTTTTTTATCAGTTCAATGTAACCCATACTATTTACGAGGATGTTGAAGCAATTTTTACAGTGAAACAATACACTGATTGGAAAAAATTATATTTATATTAATTAAAAAGATATGAAGACTTTTAATCAGAACACTGAGTTTGTTTTTTTTTTAGATACCAGTTCAGGCGATGGCAAAGATGCTCGTTTAAAATTTTTATTCTTATTTCGTTCTTTTTTCGTTCTGTGTGCTTCGTATGGGGAAAAAAAATCTACTTGCAAACACAAGTACTCCGCGAAAGGTTAAAATTATTCAAATAATAAAATTCTTATTCCAATTATTCCAATTTTCGCCATACAACGCGCACCGCACGAATAGGATCTATGGACACGCTTGATCCACACTTTCCCAATCACCCCGATAATTACCATCTCAGTTTCTTTTTGCCTTTTTGAATATAATCGAACAGAGAAGTTGCTCGATGGTAGATCCAGGCAGATCATTCATCGCCGATGATGCAAATCGCGCCGACGATGCTACAGTCACGATGTTACAACCACGCGTTCGTTCCTATTTTTCAATTACACATCCTCGTGTGTTTGATGCAACGGCGCGAGGATAGAAAGATAGGAAGATTACGATGACGCCAATAGCTAAACGATATTTCTCTCTCTCTTCGTGAGCTTGCAATAAACGACAATTCACGCGCTGTCTGTTCCTATTTTCCAATTACACGTCCACGTGTGCTTGATGCAACAAAGCGAAGATCACGATACCTAACTAAATTCTCTGCTTCCCTCTTTCATGAGTTATCTTTTTTTTTTGCAGCTCGTTCTAATAGCCGACAATCGCGCGCGTTCATGTTAAATTAATTAACGTTCATCTGAACTACCGTCAGCAACAAGTTTACCTTCACATAGAAACGACACCGTGACATCATCGAAGTAGCAGCACGAGCTCATCTTTCCTAACCGTAGAGGCACGATAAATCTACGATGCATTAAATAACAACTGTCCCATAAGACAGAGTCGAAGAAGACTCGAAGCAGAACAGAACAGAACAGTCGATTAATCCTCATCGAGAGTAACGACAATTTACAGTTAAATTTTCTAATAATAAACGTGTAAAAATCTAATCTCCACCACGGGGAGTACGAATATGTGAAATAGAGTTAGAAATTTAATTGATAGAACCGACTATTTAGAGAGTTTAAACACATTGACATTAACACTATGAACAAATATCTTAGAATGGTTGAAGCAAAGTGAACACTATTGATAAGAAAAAGATTTTGAATGAACTGGACTAAGTGGATCAACACGGTCATTGCACTTTTAGAAAAGAATTATTACATTAATTACGTGGAAATTTCGCGCTGAAATGCTGACTTCGTGACTTTGTCCAGGCAACCACGACAGTGGCCATCGAAACGAACGCGACGACCGGACACGTCCTCACGGGAATCCCGCAGATCGATTACATCTGGGACCCGAATCTGCCTCGCGAACTGAACGGCTACAATCTCAGCGATTATCCGTTCTACAACAGCATACCAGAGGACATCGACTTCAAATGCGACGGTCTTCACGACGGCTTTTACGCGAGCGTGCCGCACAAATGCCAGGTGAGAACTACAATTACATTCTGCAATTATTCTGCTTGACGCGGTATCAATCGGCTGGGTATTCTTGGCGATGAAAATTGGCGGGCTTTCTCTTTCTTTAAACAACGTCTCGATGAGTACACGTCCGCTCGAAGATGCCTGCAAGCTCTCGAATCGATGAACAAGCGATCCTTTATTTTCGACACTTTGCATTCACGGCAGCCAATTATTATTTTCTCGTTTCGAAAAAAACGAGACGAAAAATCAATGAAAGAAAGACAGTGCTTCGAGAGTGCAAGCGCAAGAAACCGCGTAATTAAGAACGAAATAATTCGCGTGGAAAAACGCTTGTCGCTTCTGGACTAGATGTACGATAATCAGCAGCGAACCTTTTTAGACTCGATCTAATAAGGTGCATTTTCTCGAGGTAAATCAGTCCGCACCGCTACGTACGTGAGGGATCTCTACGTGACACACACACACACACACACACGTATATACAGTGATTCGCGAAAGTATCCAAGAAAATCTTTCGCGAATATATATATTATATATATTACGAGTGTTGTATAAAACATTTTGGAACAGCTGACATATATGTTTAGAACGAAATAAAATTTCAAATAAAATCGGAAGTGTACGTACGTTGTGAAATACGTTTGTCCAATCGATCATTATTTTACGATTAAATATTTCGAATTAGATGAACGTTCCGTGGTTAATTTAATTTTATCGTAGGACAAATAAAAAGTTGGCATTTAAATAAAAAGCCTCGCGAACCAGATATCGCTCAGAACCTGTTTAAGGCTTATGTATAAATACTACTTTTATAGTAACGACTGTCAGACACCATATTTGGCTACACAAATAAGAAATTTCATTGACCGTACGTGATAGCGAGACTTTTCCTTGTTTAGCTTAATATATATTTAAAGGAATTTGTCGTTACTAGTGGTGGTCACTTTTTAATGCGTTTCTGTATAGATGGCGGAAAGGAAATAATGCGAATTATTTGGATTTAATTTCGTACGTCAATTAAGGAGGCACGTCAATTGAATTTCTCAAGATGAAGAATGAACGAAACCACTTCAACACTAACTCTACACATTTGGTCGCTATTCCTGCTATTATACTAATTTTTTACCCTGCTACAATAATGTCTTGTAATCTTTATGCATGTAGATTGATTTTAAATTTAAGCAATATGATCGTGACAGCTGTCCTTAACTATACTATAAATTTATTATACTAATGTACTATACGTTGCCAGTAAAACTTGAAAAGAAATATCGTCTGTAACGCTGTAAAGGTTTCGAGTGTCAAAATCGCTGTCACGAATCGCGAGTAAATCTTTGCCCAATCTCAATGCATTTACATGATAAACACGAGGATAGTTTTTATCAGGATAAATGCAAGACGTATGACGAAATCTACGCTCAGGCTATTGAGAAACGCCATGTGTGCCATTCTTTCGGAAACCAGTTGGTAATCGCGTGTAAATCAAGAAACCGATCGCGACTCGTTGCTAGAGTAAAAGTGGACACCGCGATCGTTCTCTAGTGGAAAGGAAAGTCAGTGTCATCTGGATGAATGCCCGAGAAAGATTTTCTGACAAGCTGTATCGTCCACTCGCATAAATGAACGAACGTTCAACGGTCCGTGACTGCGGTTCTTCGGTTCCCATCGACGGAACAAACACAAACGAGACGGACTAACGTTTTTGATGGAACATCTTTTCCCATCAGATCGTCTAATGAGTTCCTGCCATTACACGATTGTCCTCTTCATAACGTATTTTATGAACGAAGAACAAAGATAAGCGGTCAAAATGATTAACATCCGGAAGGGAAATGTGCCAAAAAGCACATTATTTGAAATGGCAATCGCAACTTTTCACAATGAGACTACAGTTTACAGAAAAATCTCAAATATTGACGACAGTCTCGATACTTCTGATCGAATATATTGATCATCATTTATTCGTTGCTTGTTGAATTTGTACACTAGTACTAGGACAAAGTACGTTGTCTGCACTAAAGTTCAGAGTCTAAAGTCCAAAGTATTTCGTTTGGATTTAAACGAAATAGAAACCAGAAGTTCTTAAGTAACAGGAGAATTCTAAACGATAGAGCAACAAACGGCACGAATTTCTCGGACGACTTGATCCTCCATTCCGCGAGGAAAAGCGAATCTTTCGCAGCTCGCGGGACTGCGAAAACTCACTTGGAAAAAGTGAAGAAAGACGGAGATCGCGGAAAGAGAGAGAGAGAGAGAGAGAGAGAGACATGAAAAGAAGAGACTTTCGCGGTCCGATACACTTCCCGTCCCTGACCGTTTCAAGATTCACGCGCGGCGATCTTGGCATCTTGTGAAAGCGATTGCAGAGTGCCCCTTTCCGTCGTTCCTTATCGATTGTTTAGCCCCGGCTACCGAACGAACGAGCCCATTGTTATGCAAATGTTCGCAGATTCGCTTCGCTCGGCCCTCCGCGGTGGGGCAACGATCTCACGACCGGATATCACGTGGAAGAGAAAAGAAATGCAAGGAAGAAAGATTAATGAGAAACAAAAACGGCAAACCGGTAGAACGTTTCGTAATTAGACACGCGTCTCGCTTCATCGAACTTGCAATCGTCGAAGAGATAGACCGATGATCGCACGATTTTCTGAACGGCTACTCAAATTGATCGTACACCTTTGCTTAAAAGTCTTGGGACAAGTGGTGCGTTTGTCTCGAAAGTGGAGCAATGAAATGTTGCTTTAGCTAAACAACGAGTCTTTATTAATATATCAACACGATTGTACTGTGAAACACGCATGCAATTAAAAAAAAATTGTACCATTTGCGCTAAATTCTACGCACTACGTGCCAATACACTACTCTACTACACTACTCTAAGCAAAAAGAAAAATCTACGAGTGTCGATATATTAACAAATCTAAACTATGAGATCCGCGAGCGATTGAGAAACTTTATTCTCGAACTAGATGTTAAAAACGAGAAACGGACTTGGAACTCTTGAGCAGCAGTGTACGTTTGACATTTAGCAGCTAAAAGTTAGGCAATAGTCGTGATCCATCATCGCGAAATCGCTGAACCAACCCGGCACGAGATGCTTGGAAACAACGGCAGCAATTTGAAGCCGACCGGCGTTCTTGTCATGCAGATACGCAACGAGTTACTTCCTGCAATTTAGAACAGGGGACTCGGACTTTCCAATAAAATTACCAAAGCATAGAGAAACTCGGGGCTGTCCCCTGTTTTGCTAGCGGCGCTCGCGCATGCGAAAAGATTCGATTGAAAATCAGGATAAACGAGGGAAAGGGAAAGGAGTGTTTAACGATTAACTAACGAAGGAACTAGCAGACGTCTGTCATTCAGAACGGTGAAGAAAAGAAAAAAAAAAAGACGGAGGTAGGAACGTTTCGAAGAAACGAAGTCGAACCAACCAGTGGACGTGCTCTGAATGATTCTAGATGATTCCTTTAGATAATCCGACCGGCCGATACGTGCCAGACAATCGTAGATACTTTTACAGAGGCAAGTCCACCTATACGTGTAATACCGCCAGTTGCAGTTGTGTGGTCTCGGAGCAATTACTCGAGCACACACGTAGTCACGGTGTGAAAGCTACGATGGTGTCTAGCTGCGTTGGTGTCCGGTGAAAAGTGTGTTACGAGTGTGTTATTGAATCCACCCTATCCGAAAAGAATTCTCGTTTCTCGATTTCACGATTGACGCACGTATTTAAAAAAAAAAAAAAAAAAAAAAAAAAAATGAAATTTTAATTAAGGAGAGCGACACAGAACGACACAACTCGCAACACGCTTGCTTTAGCGAACAATCCAAGTAATCCGTCTTCTTTCCATCTCCTTCCAGGTGTACCATCACTGTCTTTTCGGCACGAGATACGACTTCCTCTGCGCGAACTTCACAGCCTTCGACCAGAAGACCTTCATCTGCCATTTCGTCTCCGAGGTCGACTGTGCCAATTCGAAGAAATACTGGCACAGGAACGACGCCCTCTACAAGGCCACGACAACCTCCACGACGTCCACTTCGACGACAACTACGTCGGCACCGGTAGCGGGACGCCAGCAACCAAGAGACAGAGATCTGCCAAGGAGGAGAAGACCGTTTAGAAGACGACCGGCGTACGATTACTACGACGAGGAGTACTACGACGACGATTACAGTCGTCCGCGTGGCTACAGCAGGGACGACTACGACTACGACGATCGAAAATACAGGAGAGACAGAGATCGTGACTTCAGAGATCGAGATCGTGACTTCCGAGACAGAGACGCGCCAAGGTCTAGAGGGGAGGGAGTTCCCAGAGACGACAGAGATCGTGACGCGAGTGCGAGGGATCGGTACCCAGGTAGGAACAACAGGAGGGATCCTACCAGGGCGAGAGATCCTCTCGAGGAAGACGCGAGACTCAGACCGAGAGATCCTGATCAAGGATCAAGGTCCGCGTCCAGGGAAGTCGACGACGACGCGGAACTGGACGACCGACGAACCGAATTTAGGCTCAGGGACAATGATGATCGTCGCTACTCTGACAAAAGGTGATTGCATTAATCAACGACAGAAATTGGAAGCTTACGTAATAGAAATTATTCGCCAAGTACATAACGCTGACAGAAAAGGATAACATCCAGGAAGTAAACGATGAAATATTATTTTTGTAATTTTCTACGATTCCTGAAATCCCTCTTTGACAATTCTGACGTTGCTCTATCGCGAAACTGATCATTTTGATGTGCAATAATCGAACGACGCGAATCTAATCAATTTCTTTACAGGTACAGAGACGATTACGAGGATAAAGAGGCTGTTTCTGCGTCTGCAGGTGCAACCGGGAATTCAGATGGTTTGGTAAAGCCTGCAGCACCTGCAGCATCGGTGTACGCAAGACCGAGAGCCCCTCCTAAAATTCGGAGACCAGTACCACTCTCCGAGCAGGACAAATACGCTTACAAGTCGACAACTGTTCAATCAACTGGTAACTGTTATCCCCCAAGGGGTTAAACTTAAATTCATTCTAAGATTAATACGTAAGATATTCAACACATCACTCAGTAAGAAACTAAACGCATCGAAATTACGCAGAGGAACCTCGAAGAAGACCGATAGACATTGCGGAAGATGACTACTACGAAGATGAACTGGAAGATCTGAGGCCAATTCGACGGCCATTGAGAAGGAGACCAACTTACAGAGACAGAGACAGAGACAGAGATTTCTACGACGTCGTAGACAGGGACAGAGGCCGACCCTACAGGTAAGGTAACGTACGTACACAACACCGATACAATTATATTCGCCGTTGGTAACTAATTATTCGCAACACGTCTAACGATGTATACTGTAACACGTAACACGAAATAACATACATCGATAACATCTTCAAACGTACGTACGCATATCGGAAATACGATTGATTCGAAACAAAACTTCCAATTTTAGACCTCGATATCGGGACGACGAGGAGGACCTGCGACCAAGAAAACACCCGGATCACTCGAGAGATCGTTACTACGATCGAGACAGGGATCGAGGTGCGGAACGTGGGAGAGATCGATCCCTTGACCGTGGGAAAGATCGTAGCGCGGAGAGGCCAGTGATGGATCGTGATCGAGGAAGAATGCAGGACGCTGATAAACCGGAGAGACAGTATCGACCACAAGACAAAGAACGCGACGCCGATCGTTCGAGGATAGGCTCGAGATCGAAGGATCTGCAAGAGGTTACAGACCCACCGCCCAGAAGGGGAAGTAGTTACGATCGTACGGAAAGGACCACTACCACTACCACCACCACCACGACTACCACTTGTCTGCCCGAACAACTCGTTCATAAAATAGAATCAACGTCGAAGGAACCTGTACCTGACGACACAGAAACTCCTACCGAGAGGCCAGCCAAGTCAAACGCGCAGAGTCAAATAACGCGAGCGCCGATCGAGGTCGAAGAAGAATCGTATCGAACGAACCAGCAGCAATCGGATTATCAGGAGAGAGAGCAGGATGAAAAACGTGATCGTGGCCAGTATCAAACCGCGTCGTTGGAGGAATATTCGCAGGATTACTACGACGAACCGGAAGACCCGCCGGCTCCACCACCGCGAACCACGGTTCGCATCGTTAAACGTCCCTTCTTACCATCCCGAGGCGGAAATCCCAATCCGAGAGGCTTGTCCCCGGTCGGTGTGAAAGCTACCACGCCTAAGAGAGAAGAGGAAGCAAGGCCAACGGAAGCGACGAACATTCAGGAGAGACCTAAGAACTATTACGTGCACGAGGCAGCGCAGGAGAACCTCAGAGAACCTAGCCAAGGGCCTAAAACGCAACAACAGGAGAAGGAAACTCACGACGCGTACAAGAATGTTCAAACTGACGGTCAACACGAATATAACGACGAATATGACACGTCTATAGCGAGTCCGGCGATTAGAAGGCCGAATGAGAGACAGAGGGAACAGGAGTCGCAGAAATCTCTGGACGATGCGTTCGTCAGAGGATCGAAGCAGGAACAAGGAGGCGAAGATGGACAGAACTTTGAAGAAGGATTGGCTAAATGGCCCACCGAAGAGTTTTCCGATCAGCAGAATAACGAAGGGAACGTGCAAGTGTCAAGCTCGTCGTTTCGGAATAAAGGAAGACTAACAGCCAGCGAAAGTCCGAACGTTTATGGGTCGACGTTTAAGAACGACGAGGCTCAGGAACAACCAACCGGGCCTCAAAGTTACAGGGTGAAGCAGAGGCTCAACGAGGTGACGCACAGGCTGCAGGACATCCCGGAGAGCGAGTACGACGTCACTTTGAACGACGCGTTGACACCTACGCTGAATCAAGAGGCAAATTTGCCCAGCGGCTTCGTCCTGCCTCTGCACAGACAAATCGGAAGAGACGCGGTTCTCCAATCGTCCGAGAACAATTACAAAGTATCGAGGCCTATAAACCAACAGCAGCAGAAACCGTTCGTTCCTAATCCTCAATTTCTGCCAGCGGTTAGCAACAACGACAGACTGAGAACCGTGTATTACAGAACGCCCGAGGCGATTCAAATCAGCGGGGCGCAGTACAGGTCGCAAAGGGGATCATGGCACGATTACACTGGCTACTGAAGCTACTGAGATTCGAATGACGAGGAAATTTTTGGAAGAAATCTTTGGAACTATAGAACATCCGCCTACTCGGGCATGAAATTCATCAACAACGAATGAAATTCATTTGTACCAACGTCGATCGATCATTTTCGAAGGGGCGGTCTTCCGCAGAACGTCTTCTTCCAACGTCTTTCGTACGAGGGGACAGGACAGCGGATAGTTTTCGTGTATTAGGTCTTGAAAGTAGAAAACGAATATCTGAATAATCAAACTGCTGACACACAAGATGCGAGCAAATAAGAGTTGATCGTCTTTTATGCAACTAAAACGTCACTGTTCGAAATATGTAGTTCTTTAGTATTTTAGTTAAAGGCACCTTTTCGAAAACTATATTCTAACTGTTAGAGTACGTTTCTAGTTATCCAACGGCCACAGTATAAAGCCCTAATCGAAGATGCAAATTGCAAAGCGTTTCTACTTTCGGCTAAACTTGTAAATATGCGCACGATTATATGACTAACTTTACCATTCCTTCGGATTAAATTATTACTCTAAGCGCGACACGCACGTGTAAACGATTTTCTACGAAAGCACATTCGTCGTCTCGATTTTCTCTCTCTCTCTCTCTCTCTCTCTCTCGATAGTGGTAGCGAATAAGTTTTCTCGAGTATGCATTTTACCATGAATATATTGTAAATTAAAAAGCCTTGACGTATAATATTAAATAACGATAAAATGTGACAAATCTATTTCATTACGAATTATAGTAATTGGAACTAAATGCTCTCTTCCAACAATCTAATTGATCAATCCTCGAACACATTTACAAAACACAATTATTAAAACGACTAGCGATACACGCATATAAATTTGATTATTTTATATTATTAAATTTTTTAAAACTCTTTTCCGAAAAATATATACAGTGAACGAAGATTAATCTCGTAGCCATTAGCTCGATATTACGTACAGTATAATACAAGTATTATATTATAAATAATATCGATTTCCCAGGTCTCACCACATGGAGGTTGCTACGAATGGAGACCCACAAAAATAAGCTTATCTTTCATTTCATTTCTATCGCAAGAATTAAATTCAACACAACATTAACGTGAGAAATAAATAATTCGACTTGGTGTTAACTAAACAGGTTGATTAAAAGGAATATCAATAATCAATGATACACCATTTGAATGTTATTTTATTTATTTTCTATTTCATATTTATCGATGTTGAATATTTACAAACTCTTCGTTGAGGTCACTGCTGACCGAAGACACGTTTCGCATTTATTAGAAATAGACGAATCAAATGACCTTATTGGATATGTTTTACTTTTTAGATATGTAATTTTAGATATCTTTTGGTCACCGAATTTACAATGAAGAAACGACATTTCGTTGTGAGAGAAACGAAACAAACCTCTCGCGAACTTTTTCGGTTCTAAAGCAATTTACACAACCTATACAAACGTCGAAGAACTCGAGAACACAGCGTGCTCTTGCAGTCGAGTAAACGTTACTCCTAACAAAAATTTCCGCCAAGAGAATCGTCGATTAATCGATGATGATGTGTTCTGTCACTGCGGGTCTTCAATTTCAATTTCAATCTCTCCCTTCGGCAACCAGGTTGGGGATAAGGGCCTCGTCTGGTGTCGAGTCCCCGCAATGTTCGTTCCTCATATACAAGTTCCAAACATAAAGCATCACAAGCTGCAAGGTGGATACAGAGAACCAACGGATCGACGGCGATCAATGAAGTTAAGCAGACACATGTACGGGGACCAGCTCTAGGATGGGTGACTGTTTCCATGGCCAGCCTATAGAGAGGGGCTCTCCCCAACCCAAGCATTCTGAAGCCAGGAGTCGCTGCCATCATCCCCCTCCCCTTCTTCCCTCACTAATGTATGAATCTCTGGCTTTAGCGACTCCAAAACACTTTTTCCCTTTATTTTACCATTATCATCCTATCTTACCGATAAGGTCCCGTGCTACGTAAGTTCTGGCTATTTAAAATAGCAACAGATCAATCCCCCTCCCCCCCAAAAGAGTTGTCGATTAATCGATGATGAACTGTTCCATCAGAGATAACGTAAAATACATCACAGAATAAAATTTACAACTCAACAAAGCCACACACACAACCAACAACTAAGAATCATCCTCTAGACATGATCTCGAGCAAACTGCAGCAAATCGTAATTGCAAGATTGCGATATTCTTTTTGCGTAAATGTGGCTATGATTAGAAACGGTAACAACAATTACATTCGAATATAGTCGAACACAACTGCCCTTGGCAGATGTGTAATGAAACGTGTCGTTAACAAGTGAAAATGAACGGTGTCGTTTTCGATCGGTGCCTTATCATTTTCTATCGCAAAACACGAGAAAGAATTCCCGGCAATATGGAACTTAAAAACGATAATTCGCTAGTACCAGTCGCACCCGTTTCAATTTGTATTCGCGAACTATAAAAATATCAAATCTCGTCTCGCGATGCCGAGCGGTCTCTAACGAATCGGAATTGATATATCCCGAGCACCGACTAATTGCTTCGATTAATCTCTAGTGCGCAGTTCTGTACAAAAATGATAGAATACAAGAATAGGTTAAATTATATGTATGTATGTATGTATGTATGTATGTATGTATGTATGTATGTATGTATGTATATACATATATTATATAAATCTCGCAAATGTGCGCGTTTCAATAATCTTTCACGAGTAGAGATTCCTCTTTTCTTATATGTATATGCGATTTTTCTTCTTAGAATCACGATTAGATTATACACTATAGGAAAGAGAATGATTGGCTGGCAAGAATACGCACCCGCGGAATGGCGGGAAGTTATTTACAAGTTTTCGCTATATTACAAGAAACAATATAGAATACGACAAGAAATGCAACATTCTTTTGGTATTGAGTGCAGCAGCGTCTAAACGTCTTGTAATTTAAAAGTTAACTCCTTTCGATTCGTGAGGAAGACTAAGAATCGCCTATTCTTCTCGC